CCATTTGCCCCTAAATACTTCAGTGTCTATTTCCCAAGAACAAGGACCTTCTCTTACATATGCATAGTATAATTATCCAAATCAGGAAATGTAACATTGACCCAATGCTGTTATCTAGTCCACCGTCCAGATCTAGATATTATCTACTGAACCACTGATGTCCTCAGACCTTTTTCTTAAACAAAGGGTGTTATGTTGTAATCATTGATCTTCATCTTGTTATCTTCTTCATGTTGGTGCATATAGACACCCAAGTCTTATTACCATGTGCCTGGTATTTGACAGTGTGAATATGCTGTGGATTATGTACCGTTTCTCCTGTTGATGGGTGCTCAGGTCATTTCCTACTTTCTGTTATTGCAAACGTCCTCAAAGCTAACTGAATGTTACTGAGTGTTGCTTTGAATAACTGTTCTGAGGATACACAGTGAGGACAAGTGAGGACTCATGATGTTGAAGAAAGTTCCTTCAAGAGGAGTTCATAAAGAGACGCCCCATGATCCTCACAATATGAGATAAAGGCTTTGAAGCAGCAAAATTATTCGGACTTTTCCAATAGATAGTTGTATTTTTGGGGGAGAAAAAACAGTTGGAAAATTATTGGTGAAGAATGATTCTTAGGAAAATAGTTAACATTAGTGCTATCTTTTTATGTATTCAGCACTGTTTTAAGTAACTTTTACCAGAATGCAGAGGCCTCATTTGCTTTGAAGACCCTTTGATGGAAACAGCCAGACCTTACCCCCCACCTGGCTTCACTCCAAGGCAAGCAGCGTTCCCTGGATCAGGACGTTTTTCTCCTGTACATTTAGCCGTCTTCCACCAGGGGGGAAGGTTGCTATTTCTGCTTTGTGTAAAGCATTTTGTACCATCTGGGCTGGCTGAATTTCAACAAAGATAGTAAAGAAACATTTATCAAGAAAAATCAAAGTCAGTCTCGCCAAGTGTGGTCTAGAGAGATTTGCTTCCTCGATACATATGTGGTCTCTTGCTGCTGAGAAACATGACTCTACTCTGAAAAGCTTCAAGAGGGACAGGCTTTGAGTCTTAGCCTGCAGCTACTGTCAACTGCTCATGATACCATGGTTTTAGTAACCAGAGCCCTTGGAGACGTGAATGCCAGCAGTCCCAGAATCAATTCCACTCCATTCCTTGCCACAGAAATTCTTGGCCCCTTCAGTAGAGGATAGACCCAAAAGGACAGAAGAATAAGAAAGAGTCTATAAGGGCTGAGGGAGAGATGGAGTCAGGCGCCACTTAGGAATGTTTGGTTCAGGGGCAGTAGATGCCCAAAGAGAGATCATTCTTAAACCGTTAGTTGCAAGATTGGCTCAAGCGTCCCACACAGTTGTCCTGCAAAGAGCACTCTGAAAGAGCCCTGAAGTCGTAAACTTACACGAGAAGAATCTTCTCCTGATGATTGTCCTGTGGTGTCAGTTCAAGGACGGGGAAGGGCAGTGTGGCCTTAGCAAAGAGAAGAAAGATGCACTGTTTCCACTTGCCAATATGTGTATGATATGTGTTGCCAATCGACCAGACAAGTTTCTGGCACTTCAGAGTGTCTCAAATCGTGTTTTTATTCAGCTCACTATGTGATAGATGTGTCATTCGAAGAGCCCAGCCTAGAAACTGTCACATGCTGTTTTCCTTGGAAGGCTCAATAAAAGAGAAAATAATGTTGGAGATTGTATTCTGTGGGGAAAATGCATGGGGATCTTAAGAAATTATATCATCTAGAAAAGCTTTACTTAATGTGTGCTCCATGGACCTGCAGCCTCAGCATCACCTGAGAACTTGTTAGAAAAACAAATGAGCAGGTATCGCTCCAGACCTGGTGGATCAGAATCCATCTGTGGGAATGGGTCCCAGGAATCTGTGTCTCTCAAGCCCTCTGCGTGACTCTTAGCACACACTGCGGTTTGAGAGACACTCCTGGGGAAGGGTTGGAATGGTCAATGCATTATTCTCGAGAAGAAAAACCACAAGTGGTTCTGTCTGATATCAGTCCATTCAGAAATGGCTGTCATCATCATCATAAAAATGAACAAATGTAAAAGAGGGAACTGAATATTAATAATAATAATGAAACAGCAGGAATATAGCTAGCATTTATTGACTGTTTCCTAGATGCCACATTTTATGCTAAACATGTATATTCATTTTTTTTTTAAAGATTGGCACCTGAGCTAACAACTGTTGCCAGTCTTTTTTTTTTTTCCCTGCTTTTTCTCCCCAAATCCCCCCAGTACATAGTTGTATATTTTAGTTGTGGGTCCTTCTATTTGTGGCATGTGGGATGCCGCCTCAGCGTGGCCTGATGAGCAGTGCCATGTCCATGCCCAGGATCCAGATCAGTGAAACCCTGGGCCGCTGAAGCGGAGCATGCAAACTTAACCACTCGGCCATGGGGCCAGCCCCTAAACATGTGTATTCTTTATCCAATTGTACTCTTGTAACAACCCTATGAGGTATGCATTATCTCCACTTCATTGGTTAAGAAATTGAGTTCAAAAATATGAAGTAACTGCTAAGCAAGATGCAGACGCTGGCATCTTATAGTCTCGTATCCACTACACCATATGACCTGGCTACTGTCTTATGAAAAATCAACCATACTTTATATAAATTTGGTTTTATATATTTCTTGTGGGACAGGATCAACATCTTATATTTTCCCCTGTGTCCCCAGTGCCTAGCAGAACGCCTAGCACATAGTAGGAACTTGCTTGTTGAACTGAACCAAAGTTAAAAACGTAAAAAAGTGAAAAAAAAGTTTCTGATGCAAGAATGAGATGCAACTTACAAGCTGAGATGGAGCATGAATTCAATCTGTGGATAAATGGAAGAAAGTGCCATATGCTAGAGTACAGAAAAGTGTCAGTGCAGCATAAACTACAACTTGCATCCTGGGGTCCCTTGTCACTCATCTGGCAGCCCACGCAGCCCTTTTCTCATCTAATTTATTCAGTTCCAACCCCTTACCAGCTGTATGATCTTAGGCAAGTCAGTTTTTTCCCCCCAGCAAGGGTCAGCTGCTTGGATGTAGGATAATAAAAGGAAGATATTTTAATTTAATTAGGGATGGGGTTTTGTCAGAGAAGTAAAATGGAAAGAAGGGGACTTGAGGGTTTTTTCGAGGGAGTGATTATAATGCACCATAAAATCTAAGCTGGGGTGGATGGGGTAAAGGCAGGAGGGAATGGGAAGGAAGACAAAATGTGTTGGGCTCGATAGATTGATTGGTGGTGAAAGGCTTGTTGCAGTGGGGTACTAGAGTTAATGAACTGGAAGAATGGGAAGTGGTGTAAGGTTGTGGGTTGTGGGGTACATGAAACTGAGATTGAGAAAGTGGTGTAATTTCTGGGATGATAAGCTCAAGGTGGAGGTGACTATGATGGGGTGGAAGCAACGTTTGCAGGAATTGAGAGAGTGCTTTAGTCCCTACTTTCCAATCTTTCTTCTAATTTGTTTTTCTTGCCATCAGTGTATAGAACTGTTTCTGTTGTCTTATTGCACTTATGGAACACTTAGAAAAAATGTTGCAAATGGCTAGGGTAATGTGTATCTTTGACTTGTTCCTGACTTTAATAGGATTGCATTTATCATTCACTGTGCTACTATTATTTCAGATAACCCTTGTCCTGTGAAGAAAATTCCCTGCTATTTCCAGCTAATTGCAATGATCCTATGTTTTTTTTTCCTTTGACCTATAAATATGATGAATATTTTAATAATAATTTTCTAAGGTTGAACCATCTTTGCATTCCTGGTAGGAGTCATTATATATTAACCTGGCAGATAGCTTGATTCAATTTGCTAATATATTACTTTGAATTTTTCTCTCATAAGTGAGATGGTTGGCACTGTATCCTTTAAATCTGTACAACTCCCATTTTCTTGTCTCCTTCCTGTGGCTACCTACGTTACTGGTTTTTGAATTGATTCCTAATTGACTTTCTCCTGTTTCTCCAGGCTGCTACCTTGTTCCATCTCATCCTTCCCATGGCTAGTTGCATCTACACTGCTGACCCTCTGCTTCCTTTCCTTCTCTAAACTGGCCTTATAGACTCCTTTACCCAGGGTGTTCTTGATTGAGGGTTGAGCCTAGCTACAATACATACCAATATTTTTCCAACCTTCTCTCTGTGGGCTGTCTGGGTACTGGTTATGGGGTGTACATGGTAGATGGGTGCACCTTGATTTAGAGGGCAACTCCTTCTTTCTCTTTCAGCTTTTTCTTTTTGAATTGAGGTAAAATTCACATAAGATAAAATTAACCATTAACCATTTTATAATTCAGTGGCATTTAGTACGTTCACAGTGTTGTACATGCAACCATCATCTCTATCTAGTTCCAAAAACCTTCCATCACCTATAAAGGAAACCATGTGCCCGTTAAGTAATCACTGTCATCCCCCAGCTCCGTCCAGCCCCTGGAAACTGCTTTCTGTCTTGATGGACTTACCTGTTCTGGATGTTTCATCTGAATGGAATCATAGAATACGTGACTTATTGTGTCAGAATACACAAATGTTCATAGCAACACTAGTCACAATAGCCAAAAAGTGGGAACAACCCAAATATTGATCAGCTGATGAGTGGATAAACAAAATTTGATATATCCAGACAAGGTGATATTATTCAGCCTTAAAGGAAGTACTGATTCAACATGGATGAACCTTGAAGACATTATACTTAATGAAGGAAGCCCATCTTTCTTGTAAGCTTTATGGAAAACAAGCTTAGAGAACTTACAGTTAATCTTGGAGGCAGAGCAATATGAAAGTCAGAAATCAATTTTAAACCAATATAGAGCAGAGTCTCCATCTTGGCAGTTTATCTCACTTTGTATGCTTCTAAATATTGGTGTTAATAAATTAAAAATTCCCATTAACTAGGTGTGCTGCCAAGGACCCCTCTACCGGTTCAACAGCCATCACTGGTTGGTGCTTACACATTTTAGGGGCTATTAATCCTGAAACTGCTTTTTATTCTTTTAGTAAGAGATGCTAAAAACCTTGTACCTATGGATCCCAATGGCTTGTCAGATCCTTACGTGAAACTGAAACTGATTCCTGACCCCAAAAGTGAGAGCAAGCAGAAGACCAAAACCATCAAGTGCTCCCTCAACCCTGAGTGGAATGAGACGTTTAGATTGTAAGTGAAAATTCTTGCAGCTCAGCATGGGTGGTGGAGGTTGGATTGTGGGCCACCTGGGATCACGGAGTTTCTCTCCTAGCCTCTGTTGCCTTCCCTCCTTCCCTCTCTCCCTTCCTCCCTCCCTCCTTCCTTCCTTCCCTTCCTCCCCTTCCATCTGCATTTTTGCATTGCAAGCCAAATAAAAATTGGAACTTTTTTTCTTTAATAGAGTTGAGAATGTCTGTGGTGTGGGAGGGTGGGTGGGATAGAAAACAGTGTGATTTGTTGCTAGGTGAAGGCAAGTTGTGGGAGAGGCTCTGGGTCTCAGCATCCAGTGGGACATAACCCATAGGGTGTGGGGATAACCTCTCTAGGGCTGAGTTTATGGATAATGCTGGGCCAGCTGCCCGCTGGGAGCTCTCTGCCAGCTGCCATGGAGGGTCTTCCCTGGCCAGTGCTCCAAGAACCTGGGGTCACTTTTTTTGGTTTTGGTTTTGGTTTTGGTTTTGGTGAGGAAGATTGGCCCTGAGCTAACATCTGTTGCCAGCCTTCCTATATTTTGTCTGTGGGACGCCGCCACAGCATGGATTGATGAACAGTGTGTACTCCACATCTGGGATCCCAACCCATGAACCCTGGGCAACTGAAGCAGAGCATGTGAACGCAACCACTATGCCACTGGGCCAGCCCCTGGCGTCACTTTTTGATGCATCTGGGCCAACAAGTGTTAGTTATATCAGCCAGTATTTACTGAGTGTATACTATGTATAACAAGCACTGTATTCTTTCATTAGTCGTTTGATCCCCATTTCACCAGTGAGGCTTAAAGAGATTAAAGAACATGCTCAGAGTCCCACAACAAATACGGGGTGGAGGGGGCTTCAACCTCCGACAGTCTGACTCCAGAGACTATGGGCCAAAAGCATGATTCCTTCTATTAGCCCCATCCCCTCTTTCTTCCCTCAGAGCAAAACTGGGGCCCATCTCAGCCTCAGTCAAAGACATGCCTTAGAACAGACGATTTCCCCCAGATCGACATCCACAAGACTCTTTCCTCCATACGTTTCCTCAGCCTCCTCCTAATCCACACGTGTGCAAACACTCACATGGTTATGTAACTGACATTCATATTTCTTATAGTGACTGTCTCAATAGGATTTCCTGAACACCACGAACCCCATAAAGACATAAGACAACAGAAGTATTTAGAACTGTTCCTGTCGGAGCTGGCCTAGGTCCTCTGCTTGTTTAAGCCACAGGCTGTCAAACAGGAAAGCTCTCACTCCCTGGGGAGCTCGCCTGGGATGCAAACTGAATTTGTATCTTGCAACAGCTTGTAATCTTTAAAAATTCCTACCTCTGGGCCTTGTCCTCTTGTACGTTTCATTGGCAGGAGAAATCACTATAACCTGCACTGACTTCTCTTTTTTCTCTTTGCAGCCAGCTGAAAGAATCGGACAAAGACAGGAGACTGTCTGTAGAGATTTGGGATTGGGATCTGACCAGCAGGAATGACTTCATGGGATCTTTGTCGTTTGGGATTTCTGAATTGCAGAAAGCTGGTGTTGATGGCTGGTAAGGAAGATATTGCTTTCAAAGCTATGATATAGCTTGATCCATCAAACATGAGATCAAGTATGTATTCCTTTTTGTCCTGAAAGTGAAATGCTAAAGCGGAGTCACAGAGCGATGCCTGGTAGATTGGGTCTGCCTCATGATATGTTTTATTTGGTCCTTGGACTAAAAAAAGAAAAAAAATTAGTCACCAATATTTTAAAAAATCAGGACATTTCCTATAAAAATCTGGACTTCTGGCTTGAAAAGCGAGAAATATCTGGGCACACCTGGCCTAGAAGGAGCAGTTGAGAACAATGGAGAAGAGTTGCATAGTTAATGCCCCTTCCAGACAGGACGTGGGTTTTCTATTTGCCACGGTCCCTCCCACCCCCTATTGTCTTACATCTGCCCGACTTTACACAATTATATAACTTGACTGGCCCCATGGGCACTAAAGTGGCTCTCACATTTTACCCAAAAGATAAGTGCAACCCACTGTCAGAGTTCAACTCCTTATGAAGATGCTCCTTCATTGGGAGTGCTCACCCAGCCTGACCACAAAGGTGCTGGGGAGTTGCTGTCATGGTCATTTGCAATGTCTCCTTTGTTCTGGAGTTTTTGCCCTTTGCTCACTTCTTACAGTAAAAAATCCTTGCCCAATATTCCCAACAAAAAGGCAGGGTCAACCCCCTTGGCAACTGTTTGCTTCACAGTTTTCTAAGTAAAGGAGTCAGAATAGATAGTCCAGCCTGGCACTATAACTTTGGGAGAAATGGGGATTAGGGGCTGCTCTTATCTCTTCAAGAGAAATTGTCTCATTTCTGATGGTATCACTCAAGGCTTTTTCAGTTACAAGTGAAAGAAAATAAAAAACTGGTTGAGGGCCAGCCTGGTGGCGTAGTGGTTGGTTTCACACACTACACTTTGGCGGCCCAGGGTTCACAGGTTCAGATCCCTGGCACGGACCTAGCACCACTGTTTGAGCCACGCTGTGGCGGCATCCCATGTAAAATAGAGGAAGATTGGTGCAGATGTTAGCTCAGTGACAATCTTCCTGAAGCAAAAAGAGGAAGATTGGCAACAGATGTTAGCTCAGGGCCAATCTTCCTGACGAAACAAAACAAAACAAACAAAAAAATCAAACTGGTTGAGCCAGAAAGAGGATGTGTCATCAGAACCACACGTTCCTCCCATTGCTCATCTTACCCCTTCCTTGTGTCTCCTCCATATTTATCGTAGGCTTTTATTCAGATATGTGTTGTGTCGACTCCATTGTAGTCACTTGAGATACATCAACTATAAGACGGACATGCCTTGGCACTTAGCTTCTGGAAAGAGAAGAGAAACCTTGAGGAAGAAATGACACAAATAACTAATCAGTGACAATATGCTGTGAGACGTGAAGGAGGATGGAAGTTGAGTGTAAAAAAAAAATAATAATGTGTGTGAAAGCACAATTCACAAATGGTTAAAAACATAATTCTCTTAGAATAGATAATGAGCATTTGTCACAGTTTTCCTTAGCTCACAAACGAGGAAACCAGGAAGATGAATAGTTGATGCCAAAGGTTTGAGAAACTGATATTTGTGTGTCAGTAGACAAAGGAATGTTGAGATAACTTTGCTAAGTTGGAAATATAACTGGCTGCTAAACAGGGCAATGAAATCACAGCCTTGGAGGTTAAATCTTGTCTTCCAGACTGGAGAGCAAAATCTCACCTTGGTTTTCTCAAAGTTAACATCTATCTTTGCAGAGTTGGGAGACCATCTGGGTTCTACTGGATTGTGAATAATAAGTAATATTATGGCGAGGAAGGAGACAACTAATTTGAAAATGCTCTAGCGTGACATAAAAGGTCACACTGTCAACTTTTTGCCTTTTTCTGAAGTTTTGGATAATTTTTCTTAACATATGGATGATTTGCCTTTGCATGCTCCAGCCATCACCACTCACAGATCGCACGTTCCTTCCTGTTTCAGTCAAGTGTAAAGAGGTTAAACAGAAAGAATGCAGGATCCCCAGGGGGTATAAATGAGACAGGAGAGAACATAATAATAACAATTATAATAACAACAGCAACCACTTATTGACTCTTACTAGATACCAGGTGCTGGCTGATCACTTTCCAGGTGTTTCGGAGTCACACAGCCATACAGCACTAATCCGACGTGCAGAAAAATTACAGCTTCTTTATTTTCTATAATGGACCTAGACTTTCTTATGCAGTTTTGTGACCTCATGGTGGCCAACGAAAAGGGGACCTTTCACTGCATGTGGCATCTTCTGGTCTTCACTGCTACAGAGTGGCCGATCTTGCCTGGTCCCCGAACCAGTGCCCACTGAGGCGGGATAGGTCCCAGCTTTGGGACATCATTCTGGCTTCCTGCTGGAGTCCCAGGGCCTTGCCTCTTGCCTCTGGTTGTGAGGTCCCTCCATATAGTGCCCTCTTTGTCCCAACCCCAGGCCACTGCCAGGCCCCACCCCACTCAGCACTTCCATGACCCCTGGTTTTTGAGCCTCCTGCCTGGAAAACCAGTCCTCCATCCATTCCTCCTCCCTCCAGCTGGGGCTGTGATGCTGGGGCCCTCCAACGTAGGTCTCTGCCCAGAGCTGCAAAGAGGAGGGGGCAAACCCCCTCTGCTTTCACCCTATTCTCTCCCTTCTTCCCGTGGTTCTCCAGGCCCTAAAGGGCAGGACGCTCTTCCTCAGGTGCCATGTTCTTCTTCTAGTCCCACACCTGCCTTGTCTACTGCCTTGAAACAGACAACAGAGGGCAGGGAGGACAAAACAGCTTGGTGTAAGGGATGGGCCATCAGGAATAAGTCCAAAAGATTACCACATTTACACTTACATCATTCTTTAATTCCTCCAGCAATTCTGGGTGGAGCATTGTTCCCAGGATCAGAGTAGTTAAACAATGTGTTAGGGACACACAGCTCGTGACAGCACTGGAGTTTGGGTCCAGGTCTCTGTGATGCCAGAGCCTAAGCACACGCACATCCCTTTCTGCCTCCTCCTACCGGAGTTGGCAGAGGCCTAGAGGCTAGATAGAAAGGCTTTGACCTTGCCTCTTCTGACTGGATGGACGCTCGGTGCCCTCAGGTGAGTCACTTCACCTCCTGTAGCCTTCTCAGCAGAGATGACTCCATTCATCAGGGATAATTACAGCATCCCCATCCACCTCTTAGGATAGTTGTGAGGTTGATAAAATAAAGGTTGGGAGGGAGCTTTTGCAAAATAAAAGCCCTCTTCAGATTTGGCGGATAAAAGTCTTCTTCAGATTCAGGGTCAAGACATCAACAATGCTGTCTTCACTCTAACTGGACCACATTCTAGAAATTGGATTTTTGTCCCAGGAATTCTTTTAAGCCCATGTTAAAGTGATCTTGGGTAATGACATCCCCTCTCTGAGACTCAGTTTCCTCTGGAAGGGCTTGAGCTCTTCTCTTGGGCTATAATTGAAGACCACGTGGCAGAAACAGCAGAGGCAGCTGTGAAAGCTCCCAGACGTCGTGCGTCAGCCTCAGGCCCCTCGTCTGCTGCTTTGCCGCCAGCTCTGTGTCTGTTGGCAAATCCTCTTCTTTGTTTCTAATTTTATTTATTTTTGCTGTGTCCTTTCTCTCCCCTTGTTTTCCAGAGGTTCATCTGTTCTATTGCCGTTGTTTCTTTTTCTCCAAAGAATTAACTTTGGGATGTGTATATTAGTTCTGGGTTTCTGTTTTCTCTTTTTCTGTTGGTTTATTTTGTGGTTTCCTTTGAATTTCAGTTGAATATTTTGCTCACTTATTTTTCTGCTTTTAACTTACTCTACTCTTTAAAAATAATGAGCAAGCATTTGAGGAAATAAATATTTCCTCCAAGTTTTGATATGTCATAGTCTAACTTCTGCTGCTTACTCAAGGTCTATAGTTGTATTTTTAATTTCCTTTCTAACATGCTTTTATCGAGGTATATTTTTTAACGTCTAGTATTAGCTTTTGGTTTACATTTTTGTTATTAATGTTAAATGACAGTATTAGTATTAGATAATGTGACCTGTGTACTTTTCTTTCTTTTTTTGCAATTTAGCTTAGTATATGCTCACTGTTGCTAAACGTTCTGTGGACACTTCAATAAAAACATTATATTTACTATTTTTAGGAGATACATTTTAAGGTCTATTAATTCCATCTTATTATAATGTCTGGATCTTTTATGTCTTTGTATTTTCTTTCTGTTTGCTTGATCTGACCTACGTGTCTAGTGCTTCTTAATGTTCTCCTAGTAAAATCTTTTTTCGAAAATTTCCTTTCATTTCTAATGATTTTTGTGTTAATATGTATGTGACATCATTATTGGTCACATAACTCTTCAAAACAGTTTTTTAAAAAGGCTTCTTTTTAAAAGTGACTTCTTCTATCAACATAAACTTGTGTTTTTGGCGGTTAATATTTCTGCCTGTGACCTTGCCTGTTGCTGGCCTCTTTCATTCCTTCAGTGAATACAGGTGAGAACCTGTGTCCTGAGGAGACTCTAGTGAGCAAAACAGACAAGAATCCTTGGCCTCATGGATTTTCTTTTTATTTGGAGAATAAACAAAACTTTAAAAATGGACAAAAAGAAATAGTGAAAAATAGCATGTCTGAGGCTGATAAATGCTTAGAGAGAAGTAAACCAATGGGCATGGGCCTGCTGGGGGATGGTGGGTCCCGACTCCTCAGAGACCTCAGGAAAGGACTCGCTGGAAAGGACTTATAGCAAAGACCTGAGGGGGTGAGGGAGTGAACCTCATGGAAGTCTAGGGAGAGATTGTTCCAGATGGAGAAAACAGCAAGAGCAAAGGCCCTGAGGCAGGCATGTGCCTGGCAAGTTTGAGGAGCAGTGAAGCGGCCTGTGTGGCCAGAGCTGCATCAGTGAAGTGGGGCGCAGCGGGGTGAGGACGTGCAGGGTGAGGGCAGCTTGGCAGACCCCATGGGGGCCTTGGAGGGACTTTCTTTCCTGCTCTAAGTGAGGGAGCCGAGGCATGAGGAGATCTGGGCTACCTTTAACCCGTCCTCTGGGGTGCAGAGTGATGGACACTTCTCGCCTGGAGGAGGCTTGGCCGTTCTGTGTAATCTTTCTAAGTCCTTACGTCTTGTATAACAAGGGGCATGTTGTTGGATTAAAAAACACAAACTTGAATCTGAAAGTCTTCTCTTCGTTTTGTTAGGGAGATATTTCAACGTTTATGGTCTTAATTGCCACGTTTCTCTCCTGATGCTTTTGTTTCTCAAGTTTTTTTTCTTTCCTATTTCATTTTTTCTCCTTCTGAACAGACAACTATTATCTTAAATCGTTGTTACCTTAAAATTATGTTTCTTTAAGCTTTCTTTTGTTATTACTAATAAAGACATTTTGGTCTTATTACAAAAAAAATATACCTAAGGTTTTGGAATCAGGCTTCCTGGGTTAGAATTTCTGCTGTACCCCTTCCTAGCTGTGTACCGTTGGGTAAGTTACTTTGCCTTTCTGTGCCTCTTTTCATCATTTGAAGATAATCAGTGGTAATTATGTCATAGGATTGTTGTGATATTAAATTAGTTAGTATAAGTGAAATGCCCAGTGTCAGGTGGTCAATGGTAAACATTCAGTAAATGTTAATCTTATTATTAACGGAATCATTATTAGAAAACTGTAAATAAGCAAACAGAAAATGTCATCCAGGATCCCAGTGCCCAGAGAGAATCACTATCCACACTACTCACAATTTTTTCTGTGTGTATGCATGTGTGTGTGTGAACAACAGTGAAGTCTCACCGTACATATTGCTTGGCAGCCTGCATTTTTCACTAACGATGACCTATGAACTCTTTCCCTGTCACTCAGTAATCTTGGGCAACATCATTTTTAATAGCTTCATATGGTCCCTTCTATAGCTCTGCCTCAACTTACACAATCATGTTCTTATTATGAGGTGTGCGTTGCTTACCTATATAAGTAATTCTACAATAAATGTACTTGTAGCAAAACTTTTGTGCATAGCTTTATTTCCTAATAAATTCCTCAACCTGGAATTGATGGCTTTGGGAACACATGCATACTAACATATTTGACAAAATGTTCTGCAACTTTTTTCAGTCTTTTTACGTTCTCACCAATGATGTGTGAGTTTTCGTTTCACCCACACTTGTCAACATCTGATGTTATAAATGTCAAAGATATGATGCAAAGATTATACATATTTTGTTACTAGTTATACGTATTTACATATTATACATAATATACATTTTTATACATATTTTATTACTAATCATGTTGAAGATTTTCATTTGTATGTTGCCATTTGTTTATATTTATAAATGACTAGGTCCTGTCTTTTGCCTATCATTTTCTTATTGATTTTAAGAACTTTTTATATAAGAAGGATATTAACATGTCTTCACTGACATGTATGTTGCAGTATTCCCCCTTTTCGTGTTGTATGTTAATTTTGGTAATATGCATTTTTCTTAGTGGTATATAAAGCATTCGGTTCAATTCTAATCAATATAATAAATATCAAGCCAACTGCCAGAAAAATTTCTCAAGTCTGTCTTCTAATTCACTAATTGTTATCAGAATTATTCATCCTAGTGTTCACTATCTCCAATGGATCTTTGGAGATATATTTTTCTTCTGAAAGTAATCTTTCCTAATCTCAGATTGTTCCCTTCATAGATGCACTGACCTCTTGAATCTCATTGAAAATATGAATTAGATATTTTCTAGAATTTTCTCTGTTTGGGCAATAGTTCTATTTCATGGGAGGTGCTTATCTGCTCCCTCCTTGTTTCTCTTTACTTGAATGAGTTTTACGTCCTGTTATTTTTCTCTATCTGCCCATCCCTATAGAAGGGTGAGCACAGAAATGAAGGGGGCCCCTGTCCTAATCTTTCCTATCCAGACAAAGGGAGAAAGGAGCCTTTGGTGTTTTTTGGAATTCTGCTTCGTCACCTCAGGGGTCCTGTTCCCTGTAGAGATTTGGGGGAGGGCTATAGCTGCAGACAGCTGCACAGTAGGCAGCCTTACTGCCCCACGGAGGGGCATCTTCCCATGTTGGTTTTGTGCCACTCAAGGTTTAAAGGGGTCCCTGATCCTCTTTTCTAATGGGCACAAGTGTCCTTACTTGGAGGCAGGAGTGACAGTGTACAGGCCACAGTGACGTGGCTGAGGCACCACGCCCTGCCTGATGCTCCAGGGGCCGACATCCCGTACTTCCTGAATGTGGATCACACCTGCTGACCCGCATCCAGTGCTGATGGTCTGACCCGGGGTTGTTCATGGGGGTTCTTTTGGGGTTCCCACTGACTGATCACAGGTGGTGAACCCCCCTTTACCTGTAGTTTCCAAAGTGTGGGACCCCAAACAGCTCAGATAGTACATGGTTGGGGTATAAATAATATTGAATTGTTCCCTGACAAAGCTATTCTTTTGTCAGTGCTCCTTCAAATCTTAAGATTACTACAAAGAGAAAGTCTCAGAGAGTGTATCCTTAGCGCTCTGTAACACTTGCTGCTTGCTGATCTGCCGTTTTAGCAAAGAGGGCTGGGATGGGTCTCAGAGCCTTTGGTCAGTAACGCATCTACGTGGACTTGAGTAACATTGATTTGCATCTGTTTATTTTTTTACAGTTACTTGTTTTGTAACAAATGATACTGACTTTCTTTACAAGGAAGAGCTATAAAGTGTCCTTTTAAGGTGAATTTATTATAAAAAAGAGATGATTTAATGAAAAACATTGTTGATAATGCTATCCAGATTTAGCAAAATCCACAAAGGTGGATAGAGTTTGCCAAACGCTGCTCCATATTCTTACTATTACTTTAATTTGTGGAAATTCCTGGAAGTCCCTGCTGTGTGGATAGCACCCTCTTGATTTCCAGCAAAGATACAGATGTTCTCTTATTTTTGTGTTTCTTTTGGTAATTTCAATGGAAACTTGGAAGAAGAGCATTGAGTGTAAATGTGGAGGCGTAGAGACTCGAATTGTCGTCTCTGCTTTGAATCACCTATCCTCCTATTTTTAGAAGCAGCCTAGGAAGATTTGTGAATGGAGAAGAAAGTTGTGATGAGCGTCGTAAATTTGGTTTAGGAAGTCTCTTTGGGAATGAGGCGTTTGGGATCTTTTTTCCCCTCTACTGACTCAAATGCCTTTGGAATGTCTCTTTTCCTTCTTCACTCTCATCTCATCCTCTGAGTAGATGGAAACATCTTTGTAGCCAAGAAATAAACTGAAGCCATCATGTTTATTATAATAATTTTGATACCACTACTGATGATGACAATGCCCTTCATTGAACACTTGCTAAATGCCAGGCAGCGTGTTTATGGTTATGCATGCATCATCATGTCTTGGCTTTACAATAATCCTGTGAAAAAGAGGCTTTTATTCCAATTTGTAGAGGAGAAAAAAATCGAGGCTCAGAGGGCGTGACCAACGTATCCAGTTATCCAAGGAGGCAAGGGCAGAGGCGAGATCTGGGCACAGGCATAGTTTGACTCCGGGGGTTGTGTACTTAACCACCAAGGAATACCGCTTCTCAAGTGTTCAATACAGAACACTTTGGGAAAGCTTCTGCCGGGAAAAGCAGCACCGTGGAGTGAAGTTCATAGTCGTCCAAATGCCGCTGGGTGCCAGGACAGCGAGGCGGCCGTGTGCGTAAAGTGGAGACGGTCGCAGTGCTGGGAGGCTGCGATGAGAGTGCCCTGACGGGGGGAGAGCTTCGTGGCGTGCTTTCAGAGTAAGGAGGCACTGGATGGACAGGGAGGGAGAAACATGCAGTGTTGAATGCTACAACGAAGAAAAGTGTGTGTGTGGACAGAGACAGCCAGACAGAGAGGGAGAGGGAACTTTGCATCCTACCGGCGCGGACTATAATTTTATGCTGATGCCCATGGAATAGTTACAGAAGTCTATAGTGTATACCTGGCTGCGCACACACACCCCAAAACGAAAACCCTCAACACGTTTTGTAAAGTAGAGGTTTTCATAGGCCTCCTTCTCTTATCCTCATCAACCAAATCATATCAAGTCGAGTCACGGGATTTGTCCTGCCCCTTGTCTCCCCTCAGGTTTAAGTTACTGAGCCAGGAGGAAGGCGAGTACTTCAACGTGCCTGTGCCGCCGGAAGGAGGCGAGGGCAGTGAAGAGCTGCGGCAGAAGTTCGAGGTGAGCTGTCTTCCTTTCTGCGTCAGCGGGACCTGATCGAGTCTGCCCCCGTGCTGGTTTTCTGTTTATGGTGTGGTTTCTACTAAGGCCTTTCACGACTCTGTGCCTTTATAATGTTGTTCCATATCCCAGAAAACTCCTATTCATCCTTCAAGACCCCAATTAAGTATTCCCCGCCTCGAAAAGCCATTCCTGCCTCCCCGTCCTCCTTCAGGGTTAGACCTTTCCTCAGAAGTGCTCATTCGCTGCCCAGGTCATTTGGATGGTGGCTTGGACTGGGATGGTGGTCGTGGCGAAAGGAAGAATCGGACAGAGTAGTGACGTGTTTTGGTGGCTGAGTCAGCGAGGCTCGCTGAGGCCTAGAATCTGGACTTGGATCTGTTGGCAGGGTGCTGTACTGCTAGCAAGTGGAATTGATTGTGAGGCGACTTCATGACGCCCGTGGGTGTACCTTCTAAAGACCAAGAGCGCTCGGCCGTGCTGCTGGCTCTGCTGTATCTCAGATGAGCCCCTCCATTTCATCTCTGTGCAGGTGTCCGGTGTGTAGCCACATCCTAGTTTTACAAAGAAAATGTTTTGGGCAAGACAGGTTTGACTACTTTCCTTATATGTGTGTTGAATGATTTTAGAGTAGTTTTGTGAGGGAAAACATTATTTTGTTCACACAAACTCAATAGTATACTGACTCTGATGGGAAATCATCACTTCTAGATAAGCAATGATGGCCTACTGATTGAAAAAAATGTATAAAATAGCTAAAATGAAATAGATTACCACCATTGTTATTCATCAGATAATCACCCAAGCGAAGAAAAAAAATGATGACCAGGTAAAGTTCTGTGAAAGAGAGGTCCTTGGTACTTTGAGACTATATAAGAGGGAAATGTAACCTTGTCTGAGAGGACCAGGAAGGACTCATTGAGGAAGCAACAGTGGAAGTGAACCAAGTAAAGAGAGGGAAAGAGAATTCCATTCAGAGAGGCCAGCATGTGCAAAGGCCCTGTGGTGGGAGTTGTATAGCAACTATCTGAGACTGAAAGAAGACCAGTGTGGGTAGAACAGAGAGAGTCAAGGGTGAGTTCAAGGTCAGGCTGGGGAAATAGGTGGGGGTCAGAGTAGAAAGACTGTGCTGGCCTTAACAGGATTTTGGCATTTATCCCAAGAGCCATGTTAGTTTCCCCCTCAATTTGACAGAAAAAGCACTTGAGTATTGACTCTTGTCCTGAGCCTGTGCCCGCCGCAAAACGTGGACTGGGGTGATGGTTCCGACCCCGTGGGATATCCCTTCCTGGAAACAAATGGAATTGGCCCTGGGCTCCCCAGTCATTCTCCAGTGAACTCGATAACTAAGCGTCATTCCCGTAGAGTCTGCTCAAGCCCGAGTGACTTCATAAAAGAACTTCCCCACCTATAGAGCTGAGAACTGGACGCTTGATTCGGACAGGAGGGCTGTCCTTCCAGAAGATTTGCATCTCCTTCCCTCAACTTTCTGATGAAGACGTGTCCATTTGCTGCTGGGTTAAAAATGCACTGTTGTGGATGAAAAGACAAGGCCAGTACTTTCTTGTATATGAAGGCTGGGTTTTACAAAATGATTTCTTCAGTCCTAGGGCAGCTGTGGTGACATTTCAGAACACCGAGGAAAGCATCGCCTATATGAACAGAGCGTTTGTCTGGGCCAGTTATTGGCTTGCAGGAAAGGACTGTTTTATCCACACGCAACAAAATGTGTCCCTTTATTTCTAGCAAGAGCCTTTAAATGCTTGTTTATGCCTGAATTATAATCGCTCCATACCATAGTTGTTGATTAAAAAAATGTTTCCAGCAGACCAAAAATTGTTCTCAGACACAGAGAGAAATTTCAGTTGACCTTGAATGTGAGAAATGTAATCCCTATGTAATAACCAATTAGCACCCAGAATGACTCAGAAATTACTTTCAAGCCTCTTATCTGGGGAAATTCTGAGTGCCGGTAAAATCGAGCTGCTGCAGCCGGGGTAATAGAATTTCACGCGGGGTGAGCAGGGTGCCGTGCTGCACGTGGTGGGTTTCAGAACATCGGAGGAGGCTCTCTGGGGGGCTTTCATCGGACCGTGGGCCTGCCGCTGGGCCAGAGAAGGAAAGACTCCATTCCAGATGGTTCAGAATGAGTTTTTTTAAACAAAATGCTTCCTGTGTGCCATTTCTTATGTGCTGTAGAAATCTGAACTCATTTAATTCCATCTTTGCAACAACCCTGAATGGCAGGTACTGTTATCATCCTCATTTTTCTTTTACAGATGAGCAAACTGAGGCCCAGAGGAATTAAGCAACTTTCTAACATCCCAAAGCTGGCCATTGTCCTGCTTGGAGTTTCCTCAGAAGCAGACGCTGAGGATCCAAGTGCAAGGAGTTTCTCTGGGAGATGATCCCAGAGCATCATAGAGTAGAGGGAATGTGATGAGGGACAGGAAGGGGTGTCTTCCCAAGTCCCACTGTGGGCAGCTGGGCTGTAATCCACTGGAGAACTCTGGGAGTTGAATGTGTGCTGCAGGGTCTCCCAGCCAAGAGGCAGGCAGCTGAAGCATGATCCACCCACCAGCTCCTTCCGTCCCCGGCCGAGGGCTGCTTCCAGGGGAATTAACTCGCCAGCACTTTCCACTTGCCCTGCTTGTGGGCTGTGCTTGCTCCTGTGGCCAGGAGGCGAGCCCTCAGGCGGTGTCACAGGTGTAGAGAGGAGAGCGCCCGGGGGTCTTGGCGGGACACTGGGCGCATCTGTGCAGTGTAGCCCATTCTCTGTTCAGGTTGGTTGAGAGCCAGGCTGCTGAGTGTGAATCCAAGCTCTGCCCTTCCTGCTGAGTGCTGTCGGCAAGTTACTTCCTCTCTCGGAGCTTTCCATCCCCCATCTGTAAAATGGGGGAATCACACACTTCTGGCCTCCTGAGGTTATGTGAGGGCTGAATGAGCTAATGCGTTTAGAACAGCATCCGGCGTGTCAGAGCGTTCACACGTCAGGTCGTCGTTATCGTGATCAGCCCCTCTTGGAAGCTCCTTCTGGGCTTTGGAAGGGCTGCAGGGGGTTGGGGAGCATCTACGGGGACTCCTTGCCTCCTGAGGTCTCTACCCCTGCTGCTGGGCTGGGAGTGCCCGTCCGAGCTCCTTGGAGGGGTGGGGGTGGCAGAGGGGTCTAGTTGAAGCCAGGACAGGCATGCATCGTCTGAATGGTGCCGGGAGCCTGGCTGCCAGGACGCCTCCACTCTCCCTGGTGTGGATGGTCTGGGAGGAGGCAGGCTCTGCTCAGAGGGGCAGGCAGTCTGCTGTCCCTCTGAGCCCCGAGTTCCAGTGCTCTCAGCTGCAGACATGAAAACGCAACCATTAGTGTATTCCTGTGTCTGAAGGCATATCCGGCCCAGCAGGATAAAGGATCCTTTTATTTGGGGCCTCAGTTTCTCTTTGATGAGTACCTGCTGGGACATCATGGGACTTTCAGAGGGACAGAGGACAGGGTTCTTGTCCTGCAGAGGCTCACCGTGTAGGGGCCACAAACTCAAATGAGAGCTATTGCAAGTCGGCCTTGGGAAAGGCTGTGCATTCAGGGGGGAGGGAGCTCTGGGGAAAGAAACCTCTAGGCACAGGGGACAGCGAGTGCAAAGGCCCAGGGGCAGGAACATGTTTAGAGCTTTCAGAGAATAGCAGTGAGACCAGTGTGGCAGCAGCAAGGAGAAGGGCCTGAAATCAGAGAGGGTGCAGAGGACCAGGGTCGTCTGTGGCCCTCAGCTGTGGCCCTCAGCTGTTTTCCTGCGAGAGACGGGAAGTTGTGGGATGTTTGCAGGGAGGAGCGTCCTGAGCCCACTGACTCACTCAGGGTCACTTAGCTTACCCACGCCGGGGCAGGATGCTAACCCAAGCTTTTAACTCCACAGTTTTCTTGCTCCCAGAAGCGAATCCAGTAACAAAGCCCTGGCAGCTGCAGGTCTCACTGCTGGCGTCCTCTCTCTCCTTGTTCCAAAGCATTTGCTGCCACTCTGAGTCACCACTCGGCTCACAGCAGCAAGCCCTTCCCCCACTGCACTGAGGACAAACATGGGCCTCATTCATCCATTTATCCAACCAAATATTTAGCCGGAAACTTTCCTAGTTGTCAGGGAAATTGCAGAGAATGAGACATTCGGTGCCTGTGCAGTTTCCAGTCTACTGGGGGAAACAAATGAACAGACAATTATTATCCAATATAAACGGGAAGTGAGGTCGATGAAGGGAGCAAATAGGGACACCTAATCCAGACAGAAGGGATCAAGGAACCCTTCCCTGAGGAAGTGAAAATGTGAAGCGGGGGGTAACTAGGCCGGCAAGGGGGACAGAGCCATCCACACAGCAGCAACAGCATGTGCAAAGGCCCTGAGGCAGGAGGGGCCTGGGACATTTAAGGGCATGAAAGGAGAATGAAGCTGGGTTTCAGGGAAGAAGGACCCAAGAAGTGATGAGTTTGGAGACCAGGTAGGGCCTGATTATACTGGGCCACATAGGCCAGTGAAAGCACCGAGGTCTTTATCCTAACAATAATGGGTCACTACTGAAGCAAGTGGCAACTTGGTTGGATGTGAAGAAATGGAAAGTCACTCTGGCTGCATGTGAAGCCCAGTGTGGAGGGACCAAGGTGGGCTATCCAGGTGACAGATGATGACAGGTGGTGTTGGTGGAGATGGAAAGAAGTAGATGAATTCTAACGACAGCTATGGGGGAAAAAATGACTGCTCCTGGTGGTGGATGAGACATGAGGGATAAAGGAGGAAAGGAGGTGCCAAGGATGGTCTCCAGGTTTAGGGCTTGCAGCGTGGATGTTGACCATGCTTCTATTCACCGAGATGGGGGGCCGCGAGTTGCAGGAACCACAGCATGGACCGTCTACGTGTGCCTTCCTCCAAGAGCATCTTCAAACCCTGATGATGTTTTCTGTGTGCTTCTCCCTCCAGAGGGCCAAGATCAGTCAGGGGACTAAGACTCCAGAAGAAAAGACGACCAACACCATATCCAAATTTGACAACAATGGGAACAGGGACCGGATGAAGCTGACCGATTTTAACTTCCTGATGGTGCTGGGGAAAGGCAGCTTTGGCAAGGTACAGTATGGCTCGGTGGCCTCACCCACTCCAGAACAGCTAACAAGGCAGGCGCGTTTGCTGTTCATATGGGGCTTACACTGAGGGACGGAGTAAAAAGTCACTAAGTCTGCACTACAGTTGGTAATGAATACCATGAAGGAAATGGATAGAGTGCTGTGCCACAAACGAGTCAAGAGGGGACCCACTCAGACTGTCTGAGGAGGTGACATAAACTGAAACCTGAAGGATGAGAATGAACCAGCTATGCATTCCAAGGGCTAGGAAAGAATTTTCCCAGGAGAGAGAATAGCAAGTGCAAAGGTCCTGAGGTGGGGGAAGGGCTTAGTGCATTCTAGGTACCATCAGAAGATTTTGGGGCCAAAAGTCCTGAGCCAGGGGAGGTAGGAGGATGTGAGGTTGCAGAGATAGGCAGAGGCCTGATCATGTAAAGCCTCATGAGCTGTGATGAGTTTGGATTTTATTTACAGTGCAATGGGGAGCCATTGAAAGTTTTTAAGCAGAGAAGTGACACGATCAGATTTGCCTTTGGAAAAGATCACTCTGGCAGCCAAGAATGGAAGCCGTTGCTTTCGAGCAGCAGCACAGTTGAAGGATGACCCTGGGACTCGTAGGATGATGCTGGATGCTTTCATAGATACCGGGAGACACTGTTGTACTCAAGTTGAGATTGTGTTCTAAGTATTCTTGACTTGTTTAGTGTTGTTTAGAGTCTTTGAATCCCTTTGTGTGCCACAAACATGTCTAGTATAAATCTCATACCGCAAACTCAGGTGTGCAAAAAATATAAATTTCTTCTCCATCTCTGTAGCTTAAGTCAAAAACGTGGGAGTTATCCTTGAGTTTCCCTCACGCTCCCCTCAGCCCCGCCACATGTGGTGACTCCTGCCAGATCCTCCTCCATAGCCTGTCACAAGTTGACTGACTTCCCTCCATCTTCGCTAGTGCAACCCTAATCTAGAGCGTGCGTACCGCCTGGACCACTGCAGGAGCTCCTAACTAGTTTCCCTGCCTGTGATCCTGTTTAGCAGCCATAGTCATTTTTAGGAACTTCTGTTAAGTCAAGACTCCCCTGCATACAGCCCTCCAATGGCTTCCCGTCACAGTTGGAATAAACTCCATTCTACGTCCTCAGTTTACACCTCTCCTGACAGTCTGACCCTTGTCCTCTGCATGATGACTTCTTTTTTGGCTCTCTGTCATCCACAGTGCTCTGGCCACAGTGGTGTCTCTTGGGCTTTTTGAAACATGCAAAGTTCCTTCCTCTCTTAGAGCTTTTGTGATGCTGTTCCCTTCGGTCTTTCAAGACTGACTCCTTCTTGTAATTCTCATCTCAATTTAGATGTCACCTCTTCTGAGAAGCCTTCCCTGACGACCCACTCAAAGAGCCATGCATTCATCCTCCATGATATTTAACTCTTTCATAGCACCCATCGCCAGATGATGCTTTTCTTGTTTGTTTATTGGTTTGTCTCTCTTCTCCTTCTGAGATCTAAGCTCCATAAGAGCAGAGACCACCTCTGTCTGTTCCCCACTGTACTTCCAGTGCGTACGGATTGAACTCATTCAGGGCCTAGATTGAATGCACGGATTTTCTCTGTCTGTGGGTCACATGGTCATCTGCTGAGATGGAAGAGGGGTCTGAGGTGGCGGCCCAAAGATTGAAGAGCCTCAGCATGGAACCGGAACAGAGAGTAGAACACACGCACCCAGATTGCTGAGCAGCTCCGGGGTCCATAAAGTTAGAGTACAGCAGTTGGTAATGGAAGTGCGCTTTTTGCCCTCAGTTCTGAGCAACCTGGGTGTGGAGATGGAGAAGTCGACGGTGGGTTTGAGCTAAGGGTGGAGATTAGCAGGACCAGTGAACCAGAAGTTTTCAGTAATAAGGGAGTGAAGGATTCTGGGAAGAGTGTCGCCCACTGCAGGTCCCACGGAGCCGGATTCTAGCAGATGCCCAGTCAAAGTGTACTGAATAAACGACTAAAAATGCTATCTAGACCAGGTCGGGAAGGAAGTCAAAGCAGGAAGAGAATCATAACCTGCGTAGGAAAGGAGTCTAGAGGCTTAGGGATGACAAACCAATGGGTAAGATCGAGAGATAAAATGCTAGGAAGAAGAGAGACATTTAGATCTCAAAGATGGAGCTGTTTCCGTGAGGACGAGGAAGAAAGTGATCTAAAGGCAGAAGAGGCTCTAACGTGCGGAGGCTGTCGGGGAGTTTGAAAAAATTACGTTATATTTTTAATAAGTGATGTATTCACATGGTTCATAATTAAAATTATGTTAAAAGGATAAACATTGAGAAGTCTTGCTCCCACCCAAGTTCATGTCTTTCTGTGCCCCCTTGCTGCTATTGCCCTCCATATATAAACACTTTTCATTTAATTTGCATCTTTCCGGTTTCTCTATGCTAATTGGACAAATATGCATTTTTATTCTTGTCCTTGTTACCTCAAAAGTTACCGTACTATACACATAATTCTGCACTTTTTTGATCACTTAACAATATAGGTTTGAGAGTTTTTGATTGAGGATTGGAAGTTCCGGAGGGACTTACAGAACGGGATTGGGGTTGGGGGGGGGTGGGTAAAGAAGTGGGAGAGTGGGTCACTGGGGAGCAGTGAGGGAATGAGAGAGAATAGATCTTATGTTTCCACGAAACTGTTATAATAATTGAGAGTTCTGTTCCAGTCTAGGAATGTGGCATCAAATACATCACAGATGAAAACAACAGCATGCCGTGACTAGCAAAATAGACTAACAGAAACTTCTCTGAGCCTTTAAAGCATAGAGTAACCCTTTGCAACTCCAGTTTTACTGATGATTTTATTGTGGTTTTATATTCGAATGTCTACTTTTAACTTTTTGCAATCTTGTTAGGTATGTTGATCAAGCCCCTTAAATGGACAAACAAGTGGAGTAGTTGCTCTCCCCCTTCGAGAGATGACACGGATCGACCTTTGGGGAATCCGTTTACACCTCCCCTCCCCCGGGCCCACTGAGCCAGGTCTGGCCCTGGAAAACATGCTCTTCAGCACTGTCATAATTTGTGGAGCGACTAGGAAATGACAAACAGTGTGCTAAGACCTATGAAAATGGAACAAGGGAGAAAGCCAGTGGGAAGGCCACTGAGTTCCGAACAAGTGAGCCTGTTTCAAACCCTTTAAAAAGAAGAGCAGGTTGGAGAGCGTGCTGTCCCCATCAGGTGAGAGTGCTCACCTGGAGGGGTTGTCTTACCAGAGCAGGGCATCTTGGCATGTCTGGCTTCCTTGGAGATAGATGCCTTCTAGGACTTTTGTTATAGAATGTTTGAATGTATTATTCATTTATTATTTAATGTTTATTGTATGGTTTTATCCTTCACTCTCTATTTTTTATGATTTCCTGAACCTTTGACTTCAGCTTTGCCAACCACTGCACTTTTTAGAAATTTAACCTCTGTGGTTGTCGAGTGATGACTGGAGTTAAAATTGTGCTCCAAATATATCAACTGGGCAGATACAGACTGTCCAGATTCATTATACAAGTGGACCTTATAAAGTAAACACAGCAAGTGCCTGATGTGGTATATACACAGCAAAAATACAACTCTATACATTATAAACTTGATTCATTACCCCTGAAGTACTGTCACAATAAATATCCATTAAATCTTTAATTAATGCTGCTACTGCTTGCTTTCTGAGATTTCAGATGTGCTTGTGGTAGTGATTCATAGGATCCAAGTCTTTTAAAAAAGTTATACTGGCAAGTTTGAATGGGGCCTTTCTTATTCTTTTATATCTCTGACTCTTGCCTATGAAGGGTAGTGTGCTAATGTGGGGGAGATGTGGGGAGAAGCAGGTGTATGCTGTGGTGGACATAGATCTAAAATAAAGGAGTTCAAACCCAACAGCACAAAAGTCTTTGTAAGAGATCTATCATGGAAAGTGATGGGTAATAGAAAAAAAATGAATATAGCCCGAGTGTTCATCAGTAGTGTGAAAGTTAAATGTATAAGGGTGTATCCATGATACATTCAAAAGAATGAAGTCTCTCTCTGTCTTCTTTCTCTCTCATCGCTATCTGTCTGTCTGCCTGTCTATCATCATGGAAAGATGTCCGTGACATAACACAAAGTAAAAATAGAAGCAGATCACGGAACATTATGATTACTAATGGAAAATAAACTCTAGGTAGAATAATTCTCTTTATATAATGGACTCATGGTCCCTCCTCTCATTAAACTTTTCCCCCAACATATTATTGTGAAAAATTTTAAAAACACAGAAAAATTGAAAGAATTATACAGTGAACATACATAATATCAAATACCTAGATTCTACAATTAACATTTGACTGTATTTGCTTTATTGCGTATCTATCCATCTATCTGTCCCTCTGTCAATCCATTTTTCAGTGCATTTCAAAGCAAGTTGAAGACATTGGTACACTTTACCCCTAAATTCTTCAGCATGCTTATCATTTAACCAGAATTCAATGTTTGTTTTTGATAATTTTTAAGGTAAAATTTACATACAACAAAATGCACAAGTAAATGTATCATTCTGAGTTTTGAAAAATACGTACTTTAAAACCCAATGGGGATATAAACATTAATCAAGAAAATCACACTAACAGATGTAAAGTGCAACTGCGATGCTTGTTGTGGGCTGTGAGAGCGCGTGGGAGTGGCATCAGCCCTCACTGAAGTCAGTGAAGGCTTCTGCAAGAACGTGGCTCTTGAGCTGTATCTAAAGGCTGAGTTAACTGTGCAAAGAGGGGAGGGAGCAAATGGAAATCTCAGAATGTCTCCTCTTCCTCACTCCACCCCCAGGCCAGGCTTCGTTGATCTGTGTGGCAGCCAGGACACCTAAGCTCCTATATTAGTTAGAGAGGATTCAACTGCTGCTACAAATAGGCCCCACATGTATACTGGCTCAGACACCGTAGAAATTTAGTTTTCATTCATGTAACAGTCCAAAAGGGATGCTCCTGGCCTCGTCCACTCTCTCCACATG